ACACCTACTTTAAACACTCTTGAATACCTAATAACCAAAAAGTAAGCCTAAAATAAAGTTAGGTGCACTGAAAGGAGTAAAACTTGAAAGTGCTGTAACCATAGTACCGTTTTTATTGACAAATGTCATCCTGCGTTGAAAGAAATGACGACATTACCGGTTCCACACTGATATCCTTTTCATATTTTCCGCTGCTCCCAGTAGTCGCTTAAGCGAATAGCTCTTTGGCTGATTGACAAAGCTTTCTCGACTGCAGCGCGCACAGAGAAAAACTGTAGCCGATTTTCCAAACGAACCCCTCTGCCCAAGGTTCGAAGGCGTCGACTGTTAACGCCCACGAATGAGGATGCGGTACGGAAATCTAAAGATGCAATGCACTGACCGTGTGAAGCTGATATCGCTTCTCAGCCAAACGGTCAAGATCGCAGTGTAGACAGTGTCTGCCGCAGTAAACGGCCGCTAATGAAGAGGTCACAAGTCTTGGCAACGCTATTCATTCGTATCTAGTTTTAACTGCCCAGATGCTGAGACTCTATATTCCCGTCAAACGCTTAATATCAGAGGTCATTATTCTGCAGATGTGCCGTTCATTTTGTTCGTGTGTCGCCGTCTTCCGCTCAGGGAGGAGACGATCTGGTAAACAGATTTTACCCACCATCCCGAGAAATAATAATTTTAACATTCGTTAAAAGTGTCTCTGTCTGTCAGCTATTAAAGCAGCATTCTCACAGAAAAATCTGCGTTAACGGCATGCCTAATGAAGTGGGCATCTTGTTACCACTGCGTAGTTCTCACGGCTACGTAAAATATTACTAATACTCTGTCCTACCATGTTTCCTTAATGCAGTCGTTGCTAGTTCTTCGAGAGAATCTGATGCTAAATTTGCGGAGAGCAATACCGTTTAAACAAGTAATAAATAACTAACTCTATCAAGCAGATCAGGACTATAAACAAACATCCAACATAGACAAATTATTACCTGTCTCAGCTGCTGCTCCCAAAAGGGAGGCGCCTTGTTATGCGGCCTTAGAAAGAACACTTCCAGTTCCACGTCTTCTGGAATGTATGGTAATTGCCTTATCGATTCATCGTTGTAACGGGTAAGCAACTGAAAAGTATAGCATGGCATCATTATAACATTCAGTTGAACGAAGAATATATCTTTATAATATTACAATAAAGACAAACCCTAGATTGATACATCGCTCAACTCATGAATGCTCTTGGCATGCTTGACAAAGTCTAACGCAGTAGACTGTTCACCCTAGAATTTAGTAGTTCAAAAATTGTAGACACACGGTGCTATAAACGCTTACAACAGACCCTATTTAACTAAAAAATGCGGTTCGAGCAGATTTGAAAACGAGGACACGCTTACAATACGTCAGATCAGTCGTCACGTTATTTTATTAATAAGAAGCTAAAATACTCCTCTCTCAATCCCCACCGCATGAAATAAATGCTGCATTTTCGAACTAGGCCTTTCACTAACTAAAGTACCGGAATGTCACAAACAGCAGTCTGCGTTCGTATATAAACCCAAGCAATACAGCGATCACCGTGAAATTACGAATGGTAACAACGTTACTTAGAAAAGTGACAGCAGTGTAAGTCATATAACGAACAAGAGCAGTGTAAATCACATAACAAAAACAAAACAAATCTAAAAAATATTTACCGCATTGATGTTGTACTTGTAGTATGGGCACGAACGAATGCCCATTTGACGGTATACATGGTTCTCTCGCTTAGCCAGCTCGTCACGAAGTAACCTTGAAAGTGATATGTAATCAGGAATAAACGTATAGGCACAGAGCAAAAGCTAATAACAGCAAGAACAGTAGAATTACTCGAGAGTGACAAGTCTAGTATTGTCAGGAATTTCTTCTTCCGGGTATTTTCGATATTCTGAATCGTGGAAAAGGCGTTTAGGGCTAAAAAGGAAAAATACATTGCTTTCTGTTCACCTCAGTTTATACAAATCGCGAAAGCAAAAAAAAATACTGATAGAACAGAAATACTCGATAATGCGCTCCATCTCTTCAGCGGTTTCACCATTCGTTCCCCGCATTCCGGCATCCATCATATCGGTCAGCAAGTCGGCTAGCGCCTGTTGGGCAGAAACGCATTCGCTGAAGAATTTCCTAACTTCAATTGGCTCAGATACGAAATCAAGTTCATCCGTGCAAAACACGAGATCCATTGCGAAACGACAAGCAAAGGACCGACAAACATCGAATGGATAAATCTAAATCCTTCGGAAGCAGTTGATGCTCATGTACACTGCAATATTTTAGCAGTTATATATACATATGATTTTATTTTTTTCAAAAAGGAGTGTAAGGCGAGAAAGTCAAAAGCAATTTAATTGAATCAGAAACAGAGGTATGCAAATTGGTTAAAAGCTATACGTCAAAACTGATGTTCGTTTGAAAGCAAGTGCAATTGCAAGTAACTTCAATACTGTCGGCATCAATAATTTGAAATGTGCCATTCCGTCAAGTAGTCATTGCTTTACTAATTTGGGTTATTCGATCACTTCTCTCGTTTTCGGCCGTGTA